ATGGGTCAGTATTCGCAGTGAAGAGAATTTAGTTAGGGTGTAGTAACACAGCATATTTATGCTGAACCCTTTTTCACGCCGATGCGGTCGATTTTTTTTTGGTATGGAAATTGAATCTCAAAATTTGTTTTCATCTGAAAATCGAAGGAAGCTCAAAAACAACTTGAATCTTGAAAGGAATTACATTGTTTGTATTCCATTTCACGAGTGATCAGCTGAGGAGCAAGCAAATTAACAAACACCACAAAGCTATCTAATGTGATTGACAAAACAGTTACTAAACCTATACTGCAAGATGAGGCACCAAATTGTGAATTATTTTTTACAAAAATAAATTCAGAGTCGAGTCCCCACATGACAAAAGATTCGCGCAACGAAAAAACCTCATGATGAATATTCTCAAGAAAAAAAGTGACTCGTGGAACGAGAATGCTTCATTCAACTAACTTTTTGAGACCAAAAAAACTTTTAAATTGGGTTTAAAATTTGGAATTTAAAAATCAAGGAACATGACAGCATATTTCGCTTTTTCTCGATAAGATTGTTTTAAAAATCCTCAAGTTCAGAGCACAAACTTACCATGAGAATTACTGAAATTTAATGTGTCTCTATTCAAAATTAAAAATCTTGATCTGAAAGGGCTTGGAAAAATAAATTTCATAAACTTTATCATGATCTTATGGTGATGAGTGCCCGAGTTTTTTCGGAACAAATCAAATCAATATTTAAAAAATAGTCTCAAGGGAAATTTCGTTTCGCATCAAGAAAATTCGGCATAGCAAAACTAATTCAGCAACGGATTATTTTCGTTATGCGGGGGATCCACTATAATTAAATGCCATCACGTATGCATCAAAACAAATTAGGATCTCTTCATACAGTACATGGAAAAATAATTGATTGATGCATGAAACTGGCCTTTTTTCAAACTGTAGTTTGCGTGTTGGAAATTGTGAAGCAAGAACATTATTTTTTGTTTCAGTTAAGAAAACATTTACCTTTTTCATGTAATTTTTCTGAGCACTCTTTTTCTTGATACACATTTATTAGCAATTAATTCACTGAAATGTTTTTTGGAACATTTTTCAAGTCAAATGGAATACATTTTCAGCTGCATTTGAATTCACACTGCTGCTCTATTTAGACAATTTTTTGCATCGAAAAAAAAGTACATTCGTCGTTCAGTGAAGCTTTACTCAGTCGATAAACTCTTTGCCTATAATGGACCTATATTTTCTCAATAAGACGGAACAAGTCCATCAATTTATGAAAACAAATTTTGCATTCATTAATATCCCTTTTCGGCCATAAACTCCCACTTATCGGGTGGCATGGGTTGATTTAAAGAAACGTTCAGTTCAGTTTATCAGATAAATCAGAAAACAAGACTCCATTATGGAGAACACCCAGCACCGGAAGCAGCCCAACCAGCGCGTCCAACCCGAGAAACCCGGGCATCAAGGGCTCACCTCGGCGAGGGAAAAGAAATTAAATTTCTCAGCAACGAAAAGAAAATAAAAACTAGAAAATTATTACGGTGAAGAAAAAATGGGGGAAAAAATAGAGAGACAACGGCGTCCACGGGCGCTCATGAAGCCGGGGGCGTCCGTCCGACCGAGTATAAAAGGGCGGCGACCGCCGACTGAAACCTCACATCACTTCGACGACTCGAACCGATTCATTCACGTTCACACTTTTGTGGAAGTTGCTTATCGTTTTTAGCGAAAGCTAGTCCAAGTCAAAAACTCGCACCCCAAAGAAACATGTTCTCCAAGGCATTGGTGAGTACGAAAATTGACCACATCTTTTCCCGAATATTTCAGCAACAACAACAAAATTCCTCATTAGTGCATGAGCAATTTTTTAGCCCAAAAGAAGTGAAAATTTCTTCTGCTTGAAGCTTTGTAAAAAGGGTTCTTTCTTAGAATAAGAGTTTAACAATGAAAAAAATAATATTCCAGCCCTTTTCCATTATCATAGAATTGATCACATTATATTAATCAAGCGTGAACACGCTGTTTTTTTCAAGTTGAAAGAAATTTTCTTGCCATGATGAAACAGCTCTTTATCTTGAGCTGAATTTCAATCGAAGCAAGAACATTGCAAGGGCTAGAATATTTGATTCAATCAGACTTTTTATAATTAATTGATTCGACTAAATCTCAACCATAATTTTTGTATTTCACGAAGGAAAACGTGGATTTAATTTTTAAATTTTAGATTGAAGGCAAATCAATAACTGGGGATTAAACTTGGATGAATTATACATTAACTTCGAAACTTGAGCCTAGGACAGACGAGCCAAACTCAGAACGAAGGCGACGATGCACTAAACCAAAAATTGAAGTAGAATAATAAATTGAAAATTTGACATACCGAAAACGTTGATTTCATCTTCTAGTGACTGCAGGATTCTGCAAAAAATTTTTAAAATGTCATGTTTTTAAATCAGTGACTGTTGATAAGCGGGAGGATCTCCAATATGGAGAAGCCAAATAAATATAAGAGACTTTTAGTCGAAATATAAATTTTGTGCGTGATTTCTTAGCGAAAGAAGAAAATAAGGTTCAGTTCCAATTTAGTGGTAGAATATCATTTTTGAAAAATTCCTGCTTCATGAGCACAATGTTATCCTAAATCTCAATACAACAAATTGTTCACTATATATGAATATATTTTCTGTTGGGGCTTCATTGTAACGAGATTATATTGTTTCAACTTATTATTCCCTGCTGAATATTCAGCTTCAGGAGTTTTTCCAATTTTTCAAGAATATGTTGTTCGTTTCCGAGTGATTATTTTTACAGCATAAAGATAATAAATCCTTACCCGCAGATTTTTGCCATAAATTCTTGCATGAAACGAACTTCACACAGTGATATTTCTGGTTGCAATTTCCGCCGAATGGATTTTCGTCAGTAAAATTTAATGGCAAAATTAAAGAGAATGTGCATTGATCACATCAAGTAACGGTACAGTACTGAAATAAATTCGCAGTCAAACGCAGAGAAAGGAGTTTAAGAAACTGAGATTTTTCCACGGCTTTCTGTGATGGTTTTTCGAAACTTTTCTTCATCGTGAAGGGATTTTGTTGTTGCAAAAATTGAACAACGTGTATATAACCTTACTTGTGATATAGTGTGACGGTCGAAAACTAATTAAACAAAGAGTTACATTTTTTTCCATTCAAGCATTCCAAATCAATCGATTCTTGTTTCAGCACCTTACATTGGATTATTTATGTTGCATTCAAATAAGCAATGTCAAAATTCAGCAGCCTTTTATTCGATCCACGTGAATATATACACATTTTCATCCCCCTTTTCATTGTCCAACGAAGTGTAAATATCCTATGAACAAATAAATTTTCCATTGAGTATTTAACCACAAAAAAGCATCCTTACGCAAAAATTGGCTTTTGAATATTTAGGGGGAGTCATAAAGTATGCAGTAATTTTTTGGCTCTTGAGATTTACTGACTTCGTTTCTGAGGAAAAAAATATTCCGAAAAAGCAAAATTGCTGCTTAGTGAAACTCAAGAAGGCATGAATATATGCCAACATTTTTTGGGTTCCTTTCTCACCGAAAATTATTCACACATTATAAACCTTATTTCAATCAGGAGTCCATGTATAAGGAGATTAAGATGGCCAACGGAAGGTCAGCAAATTAATCGAAAATTGCTTCATATTTGCCAGCAAAGTTGTCTAACATTTAATTTTATGCTAAAAAAAAATACATGTATATGGCTTCTTCATTTTGTTGTTATGTGTGAACGAATGCAAGGTTCATGATGTAATCATGTGATCAATTGGCGAGTGACCGTCTTAATGCAGTACAGTATTTTTATTTATTTTCACTCGCTTTACAGTTGACTCTCTCTAAAAAGGCCATCACAAAATGTTCGCCTTGGAAAGAATTGAGGTGTTTCATTCGTAAGGCATGGATTTTTTGTCGTTGTTTAAAAATAAATTCGAGTTAATTTTGCAGCGATTTTGCAGAAAAATATTCGTTATACGCAGAGATCATCATTGTATAGAGAGACTCCATCACCTGCATAATATGCTCTGGCTAAATTTTCCCTCATTCTCTTTTCTGCACAAAATGCATAGAGGAGGTGTGTCATTTGAAAGACATGGCTTTTCTGTCGTTGCTATGCAAAAATAAATGCGAGGTAATTTTGAAGTGAGTTGGGAGAAAAATGTTCGTTATGCAGAGAATATCGTTGTAGAGAGATGAATAAATAATCCATTTGTACATAATGCTTCAGGAAAAATTGTCCCTCGTTGTCTTTTATTCAAAATATAAATGCATAGGAGGTGTGTCATTTATACGGAATGACTTTTTTTGTCGTTGCTGTGCAAAAAATTATTTGTGAGTCTATTTTCAAGTAATAATTTGCGGCAGAAAAAATCGCTATCCAAAGAATATCGTTGTAGAGAGACAGAGGGTCGTACACCTGATGTGTAATGTTTCAAACAATACCGTCCTTCATTTAATTCACAAAATCTGCGGAAGGCGTGTTATTTGTAAGGCATGGCTTCTTGTTTCGACATGTGCAAAAATACATGCAACTTAATTTTGAAGTGAATTGGCAAGAAATAAAAAATTCGTTATTCAGAGAATTTCCTTTTGAAGAGAGATGAGAGATAGAGTCCAACTGTGGGTTTCAGGCAAAATTGTTCCTCATTCTTTTTCATATATACAAAAATGTATGAGGCATGGCTTTTTGTTTCGTTGTGCAAAAATAAATGCGAGTTAATTTTGAAGTGAATTGGCACACCAAAAAACTTCGTTATTTTGAAAATTTCGTTTTGGAGAAAGAGAGAGCTTCCAACTGAGAGTTTCAGGCAAAATTGTCCCTCATTCTTTTTCATATATAGTGTACACAAATGTTTGCGGCAAGGCTTTTTTTTCGCTGTGCAAAAATAAATGCGAGCTGATTTCGAAGTGAGTACGGTAAATTATATAGTATTGGCAGATGATGACCCCCCTGAACATCAATTTATTATTTACAAAAATTTATTCTATACTGAATGAAGCCGTTTTTAAAAATGGAAAAAAAAATTTGTATTCGCAGATCGCATTCTCCTGCTTGTTGGCCGTGGCGTCCGCGTCCGTGCTGCTGCCGGGGCCTCACGGCCTGGCCAGCGACGCCGCCGTGGTGTCCGTCAAGCAGGACGCCCTTTCCTTCGGCTACAAGGTGGACGAGACCAACAGCCGCGCCTACGCCGCCCCCATCGCCTACGCTGCACCCATCGCCTACGCCGCCCCGGCGCCGCTGGCCTACGCTGGCCCAGCCGTCGTCCAAAAGACCCTCCTGGCCCAAGAGCCCATCATCACCAAGACCATCCACGCTGAGCCCACCGTCGTGACCAAGCAATTGTCCTACGCCCCTGCCCCGATCGTGGCCCAAAAGTCCTACGGTCTCCCGATCGTCAAGGCCTACGCCGCCCCTCAATACCACGCCGAGTACCTGCCCAAGCCCTATGCTTTCGGCTATGCCTACGGCGCCGGTGGCGTCCGTGCCCACGGCTACGCTCCGGCCGCCATCCCCGCGGCGTACGGACTCCACGGGCTCCCGGCCGCCTACGGCCACGTCTACTAAACAACCTGTCCCCCATCTCGCCATCAACAAAACAGTTCAAATGACAGCAACGAACAAAAGAGGGAAAAAAGGAAATCTAGTGAAAACGGAACCCAGCAACCCGTCATCCCGGCCATCTTTCGATCCCACCGCCAGCATATGTAGCAAGCAGGAGTTTATTTTTTTTCGCTTTTGTACCGTAGAAATTTAATAGTTTGCCAATTCCCCCCCACAGCAAAAAAAAAATTAAAAAAAACAGCAAGAAATTTTAAAGCAACAGCAGCATGATGATCATGATGATGATGATGTTGATGATGATGTTTTCTTCTAATTTTCTTTTTGGTGCGAGGTGCGCAAGCAAGTGATGAACCTGATTCGGCATTCGATGTCGTCTCTATATTTGACTCTTTATTCTTTTGATGTTTTTTTTTTGTTTTTTTTTCCCCTCAGGTGTCTCATTTCTGTCATTATTTTTTACATGGTGGATTTTTTCCATGCATTAGGACTCTTTGATTTCAACAAAAACTCGCGAAAAGGTTTTTTTTTCGTGAGATCCGCTTTTTTTTTGCATGTGGTCTCAAGAAAAAAGAAAATAAATTGCATTGAAAATTTCGAAAACATCTGCTGTGTGTGGAATTATTCAACATGAACTCGTCATCCGAAATCTTTTTTTTTGCATGTGGTCTCAAGAAAAAAGAAAATAAATTGCATTGAAAATTTCGAAAACATCTGCTGTGTGTGGAATTATTCAACATGAACTCGTCATCCGAATTCGTAGTTTAAAAGTTAAAGCAAAGATTCTGTTATAAACAGATCTTTAATCAACAAATTTCTGCATAATACGCGATGAATCGTGCCATTTAATCTGCGGACAATGTGGATTTTTTCGATTTCTCGCGAAATATTTGTGTATATAGTGCAGTTCTTTTAATTTCAGGCGTCTGGAAAATGTTTATAGTTTTCAAATATTTCAAGAAATAACTTTGTTGATCTTGCATTCCAGTGCTATAATTGCAGAAAGAATTTTTTTAACGCCGATCTTTCAATTCTGAATGCTTCGGTTTTTTGCATGCTAATTTACAATATTGTACTGTTAACGTTACTTTTTCGTAAATTAAATTTCAAATCAACATGCAGATTATTTGATCTAAAAGCTCCGAACCGTACCATGTTTGAGCTTGGATAAAATAAATTTCCTTGGATCTAAATACATTTCCCGCTCTTGAAATTGGCAAAAATTGTCCACTGAGATTAAATTGTTTTACTGGACAAAATCTGATGAGCGGAATTGAAAAATATTGTAATTCCTCGAGCTATCAACAATTTTTAGATGAAAGCCATGACATTTTCATCGTGGATTTTGCAAAATGGGAAATTTATGACGCAGCTTTTATATTTGCTTCGTGATGAATTCTGAATTTTGTTCCACGCCTGATTATTCCCAGTTTTTCACTTTGCAAAAAAATTATTTGATAACTGGTGGTAAAATCTGAAGAGGGAAAAAATAATTTCAATTCATAGAATCCATTGAAAACTCGGAAAAGCACGCCACCATATTTTCTGAAATCGCATTTAATTTCCAACAACAAAAGTTGTGGCACAGCTTTTGTTTGCTCTGTGAGAAATTCGAAATTTCTTTCCTCTACACCTGATTCCCAGTTTTATTTTTTTAATATTTTCATATGCATAACAAAAGGTGGAATCTGATTTGAGTCTTATGGAACTGCAAACGATTTTAAACTATACATCAAATTGCGATGAAAATTCGCGAAAAAGCAACCATGACACTTCTTGAAATTCCTTTCAAATTTTACAGCAGCATACTTATACAATAACGCAGAATTTTGTTTCTTTTTTTCGAATTTTTGAAAATTCTTACATAAGCGCCTGATTCGAAATTCGTCTTCACAATATTTTAAGTTTATAATCCAGACAATTCAAAAATATCCATCGGGAAGCGAGATGAAAATGCACTTCTGATATTTCATCATTTCTCAGGCAGCATCAACCAGGAAATACTTGTACAGATACCGTTATAGTAAAAAAAAAACATTGAGGAACTAATAAATGCGATTCGTTTCATGAAAATGACGATGAAGGTCATGTCAGCGGGTTTGAGAAATTTAATGCCCTGGTCTGAGGAGAGGTTATTTTAATGATAAAAAAGTAAGTTTTCATCAAATTCATCCATCATTCGACAATCGACAGTAAATTAAAAGCAGTATTTTTTTTCTAAATGTTGAAAAATTACATGATGAAAATATGTTTCGTGAAAAAATTCGAACGCGTAATTTACTGAATAAAATTCAAAGTCTCAATTCATAATTTGAAAATTGGCAGAAGCTCAAAATTTCTTCCTGGTCGAGAAATTAATTCCACTTCCATATAATTTTCCATTAAAATGAAAACCGAGAGACCAATTCGGAATAAAATCCGACGACAAAATAATTAGCTGTGATTCACTGTTTTCTTGAAAAAAAAAGGGAACCCGGAATACAATTCACGCAACAAATTTAAGCTTGAATTCCACTAAATAATGTGGAAATAAATAGCGCAGAAAAAAAGTATCAGGACTCAATTATTCACTAAATTATTTCAGTGAAGGAAAATTAATGCATTGCTATAGTTTGAGATCTTCCAAGTATAATTTTTCCATGCTATCTTCGAATTGAGAGATTTTGTGAATTTTAATTTTGAATTGCGACGTTGTGTCAATTTTTTTAGCTTTGACAGGTCATCGAAAAAAGTAATGCATTCACTTTACTTGCATGCAATTGTAGAATGCGAGAAGCTATTTTTCAGTGTACAGGAAAAAAATTGTGTTAAAACATTATTATTTCCGAATTCTTTCAAAGTAATTGTAGATTCTTTGAAGAAGAAAAATTCGGATACTTTACAAGTTATCTATTTACAGTATACGGGAAATTAATTTCCGTAAAAGTACATTCAGATGAAGAATGATTTTTCTCGACTCGTTCGTTTCTTTCAGAAAAAAAAAATCAATTGGGCTAGATTTGAGTCGTTTTAACAATAATCTACACGCCTTTTCCCAAAGTTCTGGATTGAAAGGCATGGTATTTAAATTCAGAAATTGCAGAACTTTCCTCGATCACGAATTCCATCGAGGTCTTTATTCCGATGAATGGCAAACGCGTGACCTGACCGCGGATTGAGAAAAAAATATATTCGCGTTTGTTCTCGGTCAGAACGGCGTTGAAATGCGAAAAAAAGTACTTCCACAAAAAAAAAGTACTGCCTATATATTCAATTCAAAACGAAAGGCATTGGAAACAATTCATTCACTGCAACCGAGAGAAACATTTCCTCGGAAATATCAATATAGACACGAAAGACCTTCAAGGACGGATTTCTGCAAGCGGAAGGCATAAATGATCAATTCGGTGCATCTGTCCATGACAAGGACTTCAAAAAGCCTGACATTCATCTGGAATTCCGCAGTTATTGATGGTCATCAGAACCGATTCGACTCGGGCAGTTTTTGTGTGCAAAAAAGTCAGATTTACTTTCATTCAGAAAGAGACAAAGGGAAAACTAAAATGGTAGTCAAGGCATTGGTGAGTATAATTGAAGGTTGCTGATATTTTTCCCTGTGCATAAACGCAAAAAGGTTCAATAATTTTGATAATTTTGTAATTTTTTGCGCGGTAATGCGGCGGAACAGCGATAAAAAAATGATGAAATATTGTCATAGATGAATCATGGTACCTCCACTACATAAAAATAAAATACATGAGCGAAATATTATCCGAGGTTTTCTCGCTAAATTTTGTTCAAAAATTCGCTTGCATTAAATTTACGCATGGCTTGCTTTTGACTATAGCACAATATTTTAAAATATTCAGTACAATATATACATGACCTAAAAATGGACACTTTCAAATAATCTTCGAGTGACAGAGTCATTACCTTACAGCAGAAACGACTTCAAAGTTTAAAAAAATACGTTTAAGTTATAGTTTCAATCAAATTCGCATTTATCATCTGACACGGTTATCAAATCAAAAAATGTTTAAAACCTAATAACGACTGTATATGAGAAAGGATGTTCACAGAGAATATTCTGATATTACTCGAAATATTTAAGAATATTTATTTCCATCACCAGCAAATTCATGAAGCACGCAAACATTTTTCGTTTTTTTTGAACCTAAATGTTTTATTTCACTGATGCGGTACACTTCCAATCATCTATCCTTTTATCATTGTCAAAAGCTTTTGTGGGGGAGGAACAATTTGAAAAAAAAAATGCAGATACCTGATGCGATGTTTCAAAATCTCGTGGCATTGATCAGTCTTCATGAGCTCGAGAAGTGTGCAAATAATATTTCTGCAGTTGGTCCTTGAATTTTGCGTGGTTTTTCACGCGTTAATCTCCCCCCGTCCCATAATAATAATAATTATTATTATACTTCTACCCAATAATTATTCTCCATAATACCCCATAATAATTTTAAAGCTTCAATTAAAGTAAGTTGAGAGTGTGATTTGAAACCTTCAAGGCCCAGACCCTAAAAAATTGCTTGACTCTGACATTGTATTGGACAAGATTGTTAATGGAGAAAGATTTTCTGTCATTATGTACATTGACCCAGATAATGTACAGTATCTGTTTCTCGAGGGTGCGTTTTAAAAATTGAATTTAAAATGAAAAAAATAATTTGCTGATCAAAAACATTCACTTCACGTGCATAGATTTAGTGTAGACCAGTTCAGTTAAAGAGACAAAATGAAGCAGGAATATTTTCCACGTGGAGAAAGGTTATATAAGAGCTTTATGAGGAATATGACAAATTTCAAGAGAATAATACCTCCATTTTTTATTTTCCATGAATTTACCTCAATTAAATGTATGGGTCTGATAAAAATCCCCGAAATCTGAAGGATCTAAAGTCATGAAGTCATGACTATAACTTCCTCCCACTTTATTGGAGCTCAATTTTGATCAATGGAAATTTTTGAAAATAAATAAATAAATAAAATTTAAGGAACAGCATGCAGCATAGATACTTGTATGTTCTGAGAAGAACTTGGCTAATTTTCAGAATATTTGTTGCAGACTGGCAAAGTCTCCAAAGAATTTCTGCATACCAGCAAAGTTTCATGAAATGTTTGCGGGTGCAAAAAGTTTCGTTCAAAAAATTGTTTGGCATGTACTTGAAACTTTCATTTTCTTTTCAAAAATTAAGTTAAGAACCAATGTAACCTCTATATAGTGGAATATGTCTTCAAAAAATTAGAAATGCTGGCTTGAAGAAAGGTTTTTCAGAATGAGAAATTTAATAAAATGTATTTCATCAGGTGAACATTTTTTTTCAAGTGTCATTTACAGGAAAAGCCAACATTTATTTTTCATGAGATAATTTCAACTGCCATTATTGTCTTTCCAAAATTTCACATAAAAATAATAGACTTCCTTGCTACTTTTGATAAATGAATTTTGCTGAAGAAAATTACAGTGAGACCCTGAGATGTTGACATAATTGGTGCATCAAGAGTGTCCCTAAGTCAAAATGTCCCTAAGTCGAGTCTCATTTTCCCTTAGACTTACATTATATAATTTTTAATTGGTGTTCCCTGTACAAAATACTCACCCTAATTCCATAAAAATAAAAATTGTCTCCCAACTTAAACTGATTCAATCAATGTATTTCAACACAATATGAACATTTTGGGAATTGAATACTGATACCTCATCTGTACAGTGTGTTGGCATTTTCTGTAAAAATAAAATTCAAGTGAAAAAGAGAGAAAGAAATCTCTCTGTAAATGCTGGAGGTAATTATTTTAAATTAGCTAAATAGATGGTAAATTGGCAAGAGAAATGCCCAAGAACTTTTCTTACATCAATTTTAGGGTTTGAAACATCTGTTTCATGTAAATTTGCTTGAAATTTATTTGCAATTTTATTGCAAAATGTCCCTATGTTGAGTCAATGTCCTCATGTCGGGACTTTTTTGTGTTTTTTAATGGTAAAATAAGTGTCCCTAGGTCGAATCGTCNCCCCCCCCCCCCCCCAAAAAAAAAAAAAGGTCAGCAGTGAGAAACTTAACAATTATTTTTCAATTTTTCAAAACAGGTGATCCTGGCTTGCGTTTATTGCTCTGGCATTGCCGCATCCGCACTTCTCAGATCAGATTACGATGACTTATGCTCGTCTGACAAGGCCTGCGAATCTGGATTCCAGTGCATCAACAAAATGTGCATTGAACTTTGTCTAGAGCAGAGTCTTTGTCACCCATCAGCTCGGTGCTACGTACTGAGCACCAAGCCCGTGAGGACCATGATTTGTCTGTGTCCACCGGGAACAGTCACTGTCAAGCAGGACGGAAGTTGTATCACAGCCTGAGACTAATTTAGCAACAACAACAAAAAATACATGTGCATGTTCGAGGGGAATTGAAGGAACAACAAGAAAAAATAAGGCTCAGCATTTATACACTATACTCTTTCAGGTCATTTCGGAAGCCAGAACACAGCTGTATATTCATATACTGTATGAATCAAACTTCTCAATTCTTTGTCACGCGCCAGCACACAGAGAGACTGTGCCATATATTGTTTTTAAAAATGTATAGAGTTCTCTCCTCTATATTTGGATTGGAAATACAGTGCTTGGCATTTTATAGATGCATTTTGGTTCATGTCAATCCTTAATCGAAACGTGAAATTTATGTATCTTTTTCAGATTATTTTAATCTGCCAAAAATTCAGCTTCCTGATGGGCGCTCTGTGGCAGATAGGGCACAGCATAAACCATTAATCATATGTACGAAGTATTTGCTACACTTGGACTTGGTTATGAAAATGTTTATCAAATACCAAATGAAAATAAGAAAAACATAGTATTGCGGGGACTTGAGCAGCGAACCTGATATTAGTTCCCACTTCCCAGTGCTGTGCATGGTTTGTTGGAACAAGGAATTTATTCAGTAAAACATGGATATTCCCATTTGTAACGCGTCTTTGTCTTATGATAAATTATCTAATTGCTTCCATGCAGCATCAAAAGAAAATCGAAGTAATGTACAGAAAAGGAAATCAGTAGGACACACTTGACACAAAAAACAGAAACACAAAGATTTATTATCAAATAATGAATAAATTATTATATTTGGTAGCAGCAAAATTAGAAGCACCAAATGAATTTGAATTTTTTACGATTTTAAATTTACATTCCAATTTCTGTTTACATTCTTCTTTATCAAAATATACACCAACAAAAAAGGTAATGTTTCAATAATTT